GTATATTCAAATAAAATTTTAACAGCACAGTACCTAACACTGCTGTATTCATATTAAATTGACTATGTAGCAGTTAATTTTGTTCAGACTAATTTGTCTAATTTATATAATCTCCTAAAATCCGCAGATTAATGGAGATAGCAAACCTAATGGTCTTGAAATAAATGTTGCTATAACAACACAGAAGTTGGGAGAGCTGCAATTTGAAGAGGAAGAAGATGATTCGTATTACAACAAGGTATTATTTGATTTTGGCTGGTGATACATTCTTTCAGTCAAGTTATTTTTTTTTACAATCTGTTTTATTCTTGGCAGGAATTGCCAGCATACGCTTGCAAATATTGTGGTATCCATGATCCAAGTTGTGTGGTGCTCTGCAATGTTTGTAAGAAATGGTTTTGCAATGGCCGTGGGAATACATCTGGATCCCATATTATCAATCATCTAGTCAGAGCAAAGCACAAGGTTTGTTGAGTCATAACAACTTTTTCTGATCTGAATGTTAATCATTTCTCATATTTTCCGCACCATTCTGTTATAGGAAGTGACTTTACACAAAGATGGACCTCTGGGTGAAACTGTTCTAGAATGCTATTCTTGTGGGGTCCGCAATGTATTTGTGCTGGGTTTTATTCCTGCCAAAGCAGATTCTGTAGTAGTTCTCCTGTGCAGACAACCCTGTGCTGCTCAAAATTCTCTTAAAGACATGAATTGGTATGGGTCAAAACCTATTAAATTGCTTACTTAATCTTTATTAACTGCCTGTCAATCACTAATCTTATATGTTTTGTTCAGGGATCAAGAGCAGTGGAAGCCTCTCATTTCAGACAGATGTTTTCTATCATGGCTTGTTAAAGTACCATCAGAACAAGAGCAACTACGAGCTCGTCAGGTTTCCGCACCTCAAATTACAAAACTGGAGGATTTATGGAGAGATAATGTTGAAGCCACCTTCCAAGATCTTGAAAAGCCTGGTGTTGATGAGGAACCTCAACAAGTTCTCCTGCGGTATGAAGATGGCTATCAATATCAAAATATATTTGGTCCATTGGTGAGGCTTGAAGCAGATTATGACAAAAGGCTGAAAGAAAGTCAAACTCAAGAAAATATGGAAGTCCGCTGGGATGTTGGTTTAAACAAGAAAATTATTGCATATTTCAATATGGCCAAAACTGATACCGATATGAAGCTAATGCATGGCGATGAATTACGCTTGAGATACCTCGGAGATATGCACAAGCCTTGGTCTGGTGTTGGTCATGTCATTAAGATTCCTGACAACTTTGGGGAAGAGGTTGGAATTGAGTTAAAGTCAAGCAGCAATGCTCCATCAGAATGCACCTCTAACTTTGTTGTTGACTTTATTTGGAAATCAACGTCATTCGATCGAATGCAATTGTCTTTAAGGAAGTTTGCTGTTGATGACACTTCTGTGTCTGGTTATATTTACCACAGACTTTTGGGTCATGAAGTTGAAGAAGTTTTATTCAGGTGTCACTTACCCAAACATTTTTCTGCACCAAATCTACCGGACTTGAACCGTTCCCAGGTTTATGCTGTTAAACATGCTTTGCAACGGCCCCTCTCCCTTATTCAAGGGCCTCCTGGTACTGGGAAAACTGTAACCTCCGCAACAATTGTCTATCAACTTGTCAAGCAAAGTGGGGGGCCGGTTCTTGTCTGTGCTCCATCCAACATTGCAGTTGATCAGCTCACTGAAAAAATTCACAAGACTGGTCTGAAAGTTGTCAGATTGTGTGCTAAGTCTCGTGAAGCTATTGACTCCCCAGTGTCTTTCCTGGCATTACATAATCAAATCAGAAACATGGATGCTGCCACGGAACTTCAGAAACTGCAGCAGCTTAAGGATGAGACAGGGGAACTGTCTTCAGTTGATGAGAAACGCTACCGAATGCTTAAGAAGGCTGCAGAAAAAGAATTGCTAGATGCTGCTGATGTTATCTGCTGCACCTGTGTAGGTGCTGGAGATCCCCGCCTAGCACGAATCAAATTTCATTCAATTCTTATTGATGAAAGTATGCAGGCAACAGAACCCGAATGTATGGTGCCAGTTATTCTTGGGGCGAAGCAGGTATTATTTTTTGTGATACTAGATATCTTTCTTTCATATTTTAAATTGAAAACAAAAACCTCTTATGTCTGACCCTTTTCTTTTTAAAGTTGATATTAGTTGGTGACCACTGCCAGTTGGGGCCTGTGGTTATGTGCAAGAAAGCGGCAAGGGCAGGCCTGTCCCAATCATTGTTTGAGCGGCTGGTTGTTTTGGGTATTCGACCATTCCGTTTAGAAGTTCAATACAGAATGCACCCAGAACTATCAAGATTTCCTTCTAACTTCTTCTATGAGGGTTCTCTGCAAAACGGTGTCTGTGCTGGTAAGTTTAGTCAGCATCTAATTGTGTTGATTTATTATAATCTATATTGTAAGATTTACCCTTTTATTTTTACAGATGAAAGGAAACTAAGTAAAATGGACTTCCCATGGCCTGTACCAGAGAAGCCTATGCTATTCTATGTTACACAAGGTCAGGAAGAAATTGCTGGGTCTGGAACTTCATACCTAAATCGAACTGAAGCTGCAAATGTAGAAAAAATCGCTACACGCTTTTTGCGCTGTGGTGTAAAGCCAGAGCAAATTGGTGTTATTACACCATATGAGGGTCAACGAGCTTATTTGGTTTGTTATTTTAGAATTCATTGCCATAAAATATAACCATTGAATAAGTTCACATTTTGACTCTTGAAATGAATTTTTGATTGCTCCTACAGGTGCAGTACATGCAGTACCAGGGTGCTCTTCATTCAAAACTCTATCAAGAGATTGAAGTAGCCAGTGTTGATGCTTTCCAAGGACGAGAGAAAGATTTAATTATCATGTCATGTGTGCGTTCAAATGAGCACCAAGGTATTGGTTTCTTGAATGACCCAAGGCGTCTCAATGTAGCTTTAACTAGAGCAAAGTATGGTATCATTATTGTTGGTAACCCGAAAGTTCTCTCAAAGGTTTGTATCTGCTTGTATCTGCTAAATTTAGGTGTGTGTATATTTGCCTTTTTGGTCCTATTTTTAACAAATATTGTTGTCATTATTTTGCAGCAACCTTTGTGGAACCACCTACTAAATTTCTACAAGGAACAAAAAGTTTTAGTTGAAGGTCCTCTTAACAACTTGAAAGAATCTATGATTCAGTTCTCTAAACCCAAGAAGTTGGTTAATGCCAGCAATCCTGGTACTCACTTTATGTCAACAACAGTTTATGATGCCAGGGAGGCTATGGTACCTGGATCAATCTATGACAGGACAGGCCAGATGAATGGTAATCCATACTTTGGACGGGGTGCTGGTGGCGCAGGAGGTCAGTTGACATGGCATTTGGCACTATTTTTTGTGTTTTAAATTTTGTTTATTGTTGTAATTATGCTAAATTTATTTTCTATCTAACTTTTTGTTATTAGCAGGAATGGGGGGAATGGACATGTTTGCCCGAGCCCATGATCCAATTGGTTACATATCTCCAGAACGAGCTCAGGCAGCTTTGTCCAATATGCCTGTTCCAGTCGGTATGTTTATGAATATGGCACATGTTCCACCCCGATTCTATAATCAGCATCAACAAGCTATGCAAGCACGACAAAATCAGCGTGGACGTGGGCCTATGCCTAATGGAAGAGCTCCACCCAAAACTAAGAATCGCATTGGTAAGACAGGGCTCAGCCAAGGTGCTGCTAGCCAGGACAACACTCAGCCTTACAGTCAAGGCATTCCTCTTACACAGGGAATGTCTCAGGTAATTTCTCACATCTTCGATCTCTGAGTATCTAAATTTCTCATCAGGCTTATTCCATTAAATGTAATGCTAACATACTTTCTTCTGTGTCTAGGGAATGTCACAGCCTGGTTTTAGTCTCTCTCAGCCTGGGTTGTCTCAGGCCGAGTTATCTCAGGATAGTTATATGGTTGGGGAATTCCAATCCCAAATGGATGGTATGCTGTCTCAGGACTCAACCTATCAAGGTGATCGCTCTGCATTCTATGCTGGTCCGACGCCGGGAAACCAATTTTCACAGGTAAAAATTCAATAATGCAAATTTGATCACTATCACAGAAGTTTTTGTAAGTGATTTAAATGTGACTTTATATTCTAATTGTCTGTTTTAGCCTTACTGAGCTTAAATGGGACTTAAACTCAGCTATTGCACTGGAAAGTGAAACGCTACATTTGTGATCCCGAATCAAAGTGGAAATCCCACCTGCTGAGTACAGAGTGGGTAGAAAAGTATACTGAAGAGGCTGAAGATAGTTGAAGTGGATCGCCGGGATGGCTTGATGCTGCTGTGAGAGCAGTGGTGTGGTGCATTGCACTTGAGTGGCATGTCCATTTTATCTGGACCAGATGTAGGGCTGTGACCCTCGTGCACACTCACTTTAGAGGGGGGAAAATTGAATTTCCTACAGCCAATTTTTGAAGTGGCATTCGAACCCTTAATGGGTTTCTGAACTGCTGGCTTATCTTTGATTCCAGTCAGTTATGGGTCAATCAATCCCACCCTTTATCCTCATACTGTAAAATCTAATTTTGAGGCTGAAATATTACTTGAAAATATCAGTCTGGCTATACCTCCTTTTTTTTTTCTTTCTTCCTTTTATAACAATCATGTCTATTATTTGCCATTTTTGACAGGTTAGATGTAGATTATGTGGGAATTGTTCTTGCTCTGTTCAATTGTTTGTTCTTAATACTGTCCCCTCAAATTTTTCATTTACTTCTTTGATTACTGTCGATTGTTGGCTTTCACTTATACATCAAACAGTTGGGAAGAGATCAGTAATGTGAATGCCTAAATTTCATCTGTGGACAACTGTTAGGATTTCTTACCACGGTTAATCAGTCTTATTTTTTAAATCAATTGTGAACATAAAGGTATGAAAATGAATCAGTTTTTATTATTTCTTTAGTGCCTACTTTCATTTTCTCTGTTGGATACAAAAGAGAATGACCTCAATTCTCAATATCCCTCATCTTTCCTGAGGGTCATTTTCAATGGTGCTAGGAGTAGACGTTTAAGAAGCTTTTCCTGTTGCCCATATTTTTTCTTCTTATTGGGTTTTGAATAGTTGTGTGTGTCATGGTTTGCTGTGGAGTCTGTGATATATCTGTGTGAAAGTGGGTGTGCGTTTGTGTCAGCATTTTGCTTTGTTAGGTTGTGTATGTATGTATGTATGTGTGAGTGGGGTAGGGGAGGGCCTGTTCTGTGTTTTTTGTAATTTCTGAGAGTTGGAGCTTTACCTTTAAAGTTGACATTTTTAATTTTTTCCCCCTCATTTGACTTTAGAATTTTTTCTTCAAAAGCATTTTGTCTATGGTTTTCATGAGGTTTTTATCTTAAATCTGTACTTTGGGATTACTTTCCCACTTTGGGTCTTTATTGGCCATTGCAGTGGAATGACGTAAGTTATCTCAACAATTTTAGTTTTTCTTTTCTTATGAAGACAGTGAAGACGCTTCTTGGGCTTGCAAGTGGTAAAACACAGTCCTTGATTGAAACAGTCTCGCCACATGCAGCCATGTGACTAAGATCTTAGATCAGAGCAAGTACCTATGTTTTGTTTTGTAGATTACCTGCACTTCTCTTCAAATTAGAGATCTCTTGGGGAAATAAGCCAAGCATTTACCAGGCTCATTCAAATTTTACTATCAAAGTTTGTTTTGCTGGGAAGGTAGTTCTTAGCTTCTCCTCTTTGCCATTGAATAAGCTACTCCTATTCATAAGCTCACCTGCCTACCTGATTATATTTAAAATGGACAAATTAGTTTGACATTGCTGGTCAATAAATTGTTTTATTCATAGTAGTTGCCTGTGGAAGTAAAGTGTCAACTATTCTTCACCTTTTCCAAGTGACTATGCTCTACCTGATGAAAATCCAGCAATAACGACTTGTTAAGTGGTTTTCGGTCACAGACATTTTAGACACTCTTGAAAGTTATTTTATGTTGAGAATGTCTCAATAGCACAAAATCGGGCTTCATTGTTCCTGCAGGAAAGTGCTGTCATTTTAAGGTGAATAAAAATATTCAGGACTGAATAAAAATGCTGTATTGATTAATAAATAATACAAATCAATAGTATAGACTCATAAAAAATATCCCTTTAGATAAAAAAAACAAACCCTAACTACATTTAACACGTTACCTAACAAAATACTTGTGCTGCTTACACCATAATACATTTTGCACCCTCAATATTCAACACATTAAAATGAAATATAAAAGAGATTTATCTATTTAAAAAAAAGTTCTAAACAAAGATACTGTCATGGTGTGATATAATCAGTTCCAAAGATGTGATTTCATGAACCATAGCTGGAATACTGCCAGAGAAAAGTGCAAGGTCTGGTGTTGGCATTAGCGTAGGAGCCAATACAGTGCTCAGATTGTGAGAAGTCATTTTATTGACTTCATTGAGTTGAGCAACCCTTCAAAAATGATAAAGACAATCATTAATTAAAATTAGAACAAGCCCAGAACCAATTAACACACTAAATACAAACCTGTTTAAGTGCTCAACAAAATATTTGAGTGTATGGAAATGAGGTGGAGGTAAAAGAGAAAGGGCATCCTTAATTCCTTTCAGTTTTGTCTCCAGTGAACTGGCTTCTGTAGAACAAATGTATTATGTAAGGGCCAATTTCATCAGACCAGTCAATACAAAATAATTCACCCAACACTTACGCGCTGCTTTCATGAGAACAGGATGAACTTCAAAACTAATTAAAGGTATAGGAAGTAATCTCAGATACAACTTCAGAGTACCAGCTATAACATTTATATTGTCATAGGCTTGAGGACTTAAATCTGCATGCTCGCCATCTAAAATGAAATGGCAAAGTTATTGACTTGACTAAATAAAAACTAGGATTTCACAAAACATCCCTTCTTTCCCTTTGCCCTTCCAAAAAAATAAAAATAAAAATTGTTTAAATGGCATACCTCTATCTAAAGCAAGTTTGAGGGAGGCAATTTCATCCTGGAAGCCAGAAACTCTATAGAGACCCTCTGATGTAAGCCCGCGTCCCTCCATCTCTGCAATGCATTTATCCAAGACCCATGGTCTTAGAGTGCGATGGGCTTTAACCAAAGTTGTTAAATCAAGGCCAAACACACCCCTAAAGTTTTTTAAATCAGGCTGACAATCAGAAGGCACTTTTTCTGAGCAGCGGTTGTGAGCACTAAATCCACAATCTAAAACAATGAAAAAATCGATGTTGACATTGAACAGAAGATGTTTAGATTAGATTTATTCTGTTCATAAAAATTGGGAATTTCTATTACCTTCACATTTTACACCTTGCGCAGTAAATCCCCATAGAAAGTTTCCACAGAGTTCACACCAGTTCAAACCTTTAAAAGTATGAACTCTAAATGTATGAGGCTTCTGATCAGCTCCTTCAGAAACTGCTATGGCTTCACTCAATGCACTCTTTTTTTCAGGCAGTCCATCAACAGCAGCTATCTGTTGTTTTCTAATAATTAAAATTACTAAAGAAATTAAAAGATACTGATTGGTAAACCACAGTTAGTTTGGAATGGGTGGATAGTAATCTTGTACCTTGATGAATGCTGTCTTAAGACCCTTCGTTTCAATTTATTGAGGGTCATGTAAGGACTCTGTTCATAAGAGTGCTGATGCATTCTCTCAATGTAGTGGGCTGCATTTTGTTCCATATGTAATGTAACAAGACCATCGGCGACCAAATCCTTAACTGACTCATACCGTTTGTCATTAGCACGTACGTAAAACTGACCATCAAAGTAAAGTTTATAATGGCTAACTTTCTTGTTGAATCTGAAATCAATGAGCAGCCCTTCAGAACTCAGAAATGTGGAATTTTTACATTTCTACTATGTATCCTTAACTTACCGCAACGACAGTGTGTGGAATCCATCATTGCCAGCACTGAGACGAACCAAATAGTCCCCATCATCTCTTAGAAGGCGAAGGGCATCTTGATGTGACAACACACCATGGAATTCCCCTCCAAATTGAGCTGGTCTTCCTGGGACAGGACCATCGGCTACGATAGCTTTAGCTTTGGGTGCCTCTTGTTGAAGGCGGTACACTATGATGAACAAAGAATATAATATGTTAAATAGATCTCAAGTCACGTGTACACCTCATCGCAAAAACAAGTTCAAATCAAATACTTACAATCAGATTTCCAGACTTTGCTGGAAAGTGGTGATGTTGGACTTAAATCTAGAGTAGAGCAAAAATGAGAGTTAGGTTAACTTTGACTAAGAAAACTAAAGCTGAAACGACAGTTGTTTCAAATACATTAAGATTGTTTTAAGGACTGAAAGGTTGTTGTTGACATCGAGTGTCACAAGTTGTTTTTGTATGACCTAATACCCGTCAGACCAAAATTAGGTTACTATAATCATTCAAAGAGACGGACACATACCTGCAGGAACCATGACAATTTAATGACAACAACAAGAGTCACATAAATATGCAATCAGCATAATTAATCCACACATTAAAAGCGTTTTAAAGAACAAACATAATAGGTTTTTACTTTCTTCAGTGAAAGCGAAAGTGTTTACATGGTGTTTACAAGTGGCGGACGCCGCCTCGTCTCCCCCCGACCCCCCCTCCCCTCCCCTATCGTAGTAGTAGATGGCGGTGACAGAAAATAGAAGAAACTGAAAGTAAGAAGGAAGAAAGAAGGCGTAATGGCGAAGTAAATAAAGCTTGCGATCAGCAGCATTGTTGTGAAGAACGCTTAAAGTTTAAGCGTATATTTTGGTTAATTATTATTTTCAACTGTTAGAATTTTAACTCGGTGCTCAGGTGAATTTTCTGTATTTCTCATTTGTCCTTTTATTTTACTACAGTAATGGTAGGGACGGTACCGTCATTTAACACCTCTTTGCGGCAATTTTATTTTTGTATCATTTTTATAGGTCTTATTGAATGTTTCAATCGACTAAATGCAATTATTTATTTGAATTTGATACGCTATTTTACTTTATTCTTTGGAATTTCCATCATTTTTTTCAGTTATCAGTCTATGAGTCATTCGGTCTCGGCACTCTAACCTACACTTGATTGTTCATTCATTGTTTTCGACTTTGCTCCACTATCAGTTTATCAGCAAACATTTGATAATCCTTATTAAAACCCAAAATCATGTAATTTTTGGCTTACTTTTCAATTTTAATCTGACATGTTTTTTATTGTCTTCATTTAAATTTGCAGGAACTGTTTTTATCAAACCTAATATAATCATGTCTTCTGGACGTCCAATTAAATGTGTTGTCGTTGGAGATGGCACTGTTGGTAAAACCTGCATGTTGATATCATACACCACTGATAGTTTTCCTGGTGAATATGTTCCCACAGTGTAAGTATTAGTTGTAGCATACAATGTTAATTCTTCTTTCCCAAGTTCTACTTTGTAATCAAATTTTCTTGCCTTATGTATGTCCTTAGATTTGACAATTACTCCGCCCCCATGGTTGTAGATGGTATTCCTGTCAGTTTAGGGCTTTGGGATACAGCAGGTCAAGAAGATTATGATCGCCTACGTCCTCTATCCTATCCCCAGGTACAGATCCTCTTGATTTCTTTCTCTCCGCTAATTATAATTTCTTTCAAATGCTATAATGGTATTGACCTATTTTACAGACTGACGTCTTCCTCATCTGCTTTAGTGTAACAAGTCCTTCATCTTTTGAAAACGTAACTTCAAAATGGTATCCCGAAATAAAACATCATTGTCCAGATGCTCCAATGATTCTTGTTGGTAGGTCACTAATAACTTTGTAAACTTCTCATTTTTCCTGTACTGTTATGCTCGACCATTGAACTATGATTGTTTCTTAATTTCAGGTACCAAAATTGATTTAAGAGATGACCGTGAAACACTTACTCTTCTCTCAGAGCAAGGTTTATCGCCAATTAAGCGAGAACAAGGTCAAAAGCTTGCTAATAAAATTCGAGCAGTTAAATATATGGAATGTTCTGCACTTACTCAGAGGGGTTTAAAACAGGTACATAATATCAAACTTTCCTACTTATAAAATATTAAGAGTGACTCTGACTAGCCAAAACTGCAGGACTTTGTTAGAAGTTAGAAGTCTACCGTAAAGGATGCTAATATTATTTTTATTGCTATTATTTATCTTTACTTTCACTTCCTTTTCAATGACATTTGTGATATAGATTAAGAGACATTAATCCACTGTCTACGCAGATGATATTTTTAGTAGGACTTTCAAATAAACTGAATAGCTTGTGGGGCTCTGGTGGTGCTTTCCATAATACTCCTTCATTTGTTTAAATGAATTAGATTAGGTGGTTAGTTTAGGTGGCGATCATATAAAGTAGCCTCTTAAGTATCTTTTCTGAAAACAGCTCATATCTGTATGAAGCTACTAGGTACTACCTTTAGCTGTTCACTTTCATTAAGTTTTACTTTCTCAATTACAGGTATTTGATGAGGCTGTGCGTGCTGTTCTTCGACCTGAACCACAGAAAAGAAGGCAGAGAAAGTGTATTGTCATGTAAGCTCTTCACATACCAAAAGTGACAGATTATCTTGCATCTCCATCAAGGTAAATAGGAATTGTGCTTCAGGGTACAATAGCTAATCAGACACACCATCCACAGCTTTGCTCAAGTGTCCAATATCTCATACATCACAGTTCCAATATACATATTTCACTTTATTTAAAGAGAATGATTTCTTTTTTTTTTTTTAAACAAGAACTTGTACTGCAAACTTGCTTGAGGTTCAGAACACATTCTAATAAGTGCCATTTTTTAAAATATTTTTTATCTTATGCTGTGACTTCTTGCTGTTTCTACTTTGTTGGAGAACCCAAGTGAAATTTTTACTTAGCCGTGACATTATGTTGTGGTTTTATAGTTTGTCAGCAACAAATCTTTCTGGCTTTTCAAGGCTTCTTCAAAATACAAAAAATACAGCAGTGGGGAAAAACTCTGAAAAATGGAAGTAGTTAATCAATTTCTACTGTGTTTGAGCTAATCAGCTTCATTTGGTAATGTCCATGAAATTTGTAATAAAATTAGGTATGTTGTTCATATCTATACACATTCTTGTTAGTCTAAATTTTTAAAACTTTGGTGTATCTTATTCCACTGTGGATTGCCATGAGAATATGAAATCTGTGATCACACAGATTTTTAATCCCAATAGTTATTTCAATGTACAAAATAAAAATAACTGGCTTTGATGGGCACTCATGTGCACTGTTCCAATGTGCAATGAATCAAGTTTTTTAATAAATTCAACTTTCTTTCTTATTTGATTTAGAAATATGAATAGATGGAGCCTTTTACTATCTTGCTTCTATTCTATTCTTGTTAAACTACATGTGTGTCTTATTAACATGTAACTCGGACTTGAAATTTTTCAATTTATTTTGATAGTTTTCTCTTAATTTATAAAACCTCATACTCATTTTTGTACCCACTTACAATTATGTGTAGTACATATGTTTGTTTGTGTGTTTTCTTTATCGACTGATTTGCACAATATGTTTTCTCTAATTTATTTTCCTTTGTATATTTGACATCTTTGTGTCCATTAATTTTATTGACTCTATCCTTCCTATTGTGTTACATAGTTTAATTTGTTCCTTCCTAATGTCCCAACATAGCTGTTATTCTTGTTGTTAAAAAATTTTTGCTGATCTTGTGACAGTTTCTACCTCCCATTTGTAAAGCAGAGTGAGTTTATAGTGGTTGGGTGTTGTTTGGAGCTGTCTAATCCAAACATCTCCTTCTGTTTGTGAGGTTGTTAGCTTTAGGCAATGGTCCTATTGGTTCGATTGGATGTAAATTTTTTTAATCACTGCCTCCACCATCATTGTTCAATCTTGATTGCGGATGTCCCCTGCTTTAAATCTGACATTATGTTTCTGTCACTAGATGATGAATTAGCTACATGACATCTTTTTACACTGCTTTTTTGATAAGTCTGATGATATGTGATCATGTATCCCCTTTTTTCCTTACTCATTTTATCTCTATGAGTGTGTGTATTTTCTTTTCCTGTTTAACTTATTTGCACTCATGTGTATGGTTTTGCAGTGTGAACTTTTTTTTCTTCTGAAGTTAATTTATGTCAGTAGGCTTGATGTTAATGTATTGGTAGCATATTCCAATGCTTGTGAACCGCTATCTCTCCCCTCCTATGCAATGGGGAAAGCATGTGCAGTAATATGAATGAACTTTAAAATCTCTTCCACTCAGTTCCCACCTAGTCCCAAAAAACATTTGGGGTGAAATTGATTGTGAGAGCAAGCTCAATATTGATGGCATACCTTTAAATGCCCAATGATTCACTCATTTCGGATTTAAATAAGTTCAGTTTTGCCTAATCATAAGGTTTTTGGTTAAATATCCCATTCATATATCAGTAAGATAAGATAACCAATTTCAAAATCAATATGCTACCAATTTATCCTAGCCACAGCATTTAGAGGCCTCAATATGGTACACTTTTCACACTAGTGTTGTATATTTGTTTCAATAAGTTTACAGCACCTGTGAACCACGTCATTGGAGGTGCTAGTCAGAAACCAAAGTAGGCTGTAGTTGGTAAACTAGAGTGTTGCCTTGTTATAACATAATCTAGTCAGTGTATGCCTATGTTTTGATTTTTAGCACATACACTTATATCCCAAATGTATTAATTGTTTAGGTGTTACATTCAGACATGTCGTAGAGCAGAGACCAAACAGTACGCTTTGTATTCTGGTTCTGAATTTGTTCCTCAAGATTACATTGTTGATACTTTTGATTGTTCCTGTGCTCAACCACTTTTTAAAGAATGGTGTAAGAGATGAAGCTGCTTTCCCTCTGGCCTAGCAGGCCTAGGTCAGTGAAAAGGGCCAGATTTAACTTTTTATCCACATTAGGTCAGTTAAAAGAGGATCAGAACCAACTTTTATTCACATTCTTGGTATTCCTCAATGCTTTGTCATAATTAAACTCCATGAATTTTACAGTTTATGGGCAACATTTATAACCCATTGAGTGATTCTAAATTAATAATTTATTGTGTGAAATACTAACAAATTGCAGACTTTTGTGAATTTGTATATTTGACCATTTTTTTTACAGACACTTTGACATGTTTGTCTGTGATCCACCTGCAGTTCTGCCTAGCAGTTAATTTCATATATTTTGGGTATTTTACTATTTTCATGTTGAGTTTTCCATCTTTCTTCCTTTTATATCAGTGTCATGTTTTACTTTAGTAATGTAACCTGTCAACCCTTGTGACCAGCAAGATGAATGTTTATTTGTCATTTGTAATATTACTACATATATATTATCTATATAAACAATAAATTAATACATTTCAATTTGACTGAGGAATGTTTAACTTATGTCATCATTGAACTCTTGGTGCGTCTGGCGTTAATGTCTCTCTGTTTTTTCATTGGCCCTGCCAATTTTGTCTTCCTGAAGTAATTGGTCCAGATTTTCATTGGGCGGGCTGGAGGGTAGGGTGGCTCTATATCGTCTACTTCGGACGCACCGTACGGCTTCCGATATGCTCTCGCTCTATTCTCTCGAGTGGCTTTTTCACGACCCTCACCCCTTCCCAATTTTTCCCCGGGATAAGGCTGCCTTAATCCTCGGATTGGACGTTTACTGTAAAAGAAATATTGCGAACGGTTGTTTGCTCTGTAATCGCGAACCAATTGCGAGCATGATCCTATTGAATTCGAGAGAAATTCTTCGCCATTGTAAAGAAATTGTCTCGTGAGCTTTCAAAGCAGCCAAATCCCTCCAAAGATTCTTTGAGTCTTGAAAGGGTGAGTCTGGTACGCTAACGTGTTCATCATTAGCCAACCTGATTTTTGAAATTGATTGAAGTTTCTCTTTGTTTCAGAGTTCCGGACTGCGCGCTAAGTCCTTCCCCGCCGTGTTTGTCACCTCCTTTCCCCTCTCCCCGTGCCGTGCCCCCTCCTCCCAGCTCCCCGCCCCCCTCCATTATCTGCATCTCCCCCCCCCCCCCCCCTTTCCTCTCCGTCCGTACCGAGTCGAGCTCGCCGGTCCCGTCTCCAGTCCCATCAGTCAGCTGTTTTGACCGGGCGGCGAAGGAGCAGTCGGTCGTGGTCAGCGAATGGGTTAGGCGGTTTGGAATCAGAACGAGGACAGTGCCGGAACCGTCAAATACTTTACGCTTCCATCGTATCCGCGCCGATCGTCTAGAAGATCAAGCTCCTCGTCTCGTGTGGGCCAGACCAACAACAAGATTAGTTAACTTCCCATCCGCGTTACATTAGCCATCATTAATTTATTGTTTACCTTCAACATCATCGTAGCCCTAATTCATTGCCTTGTTACCATCTGCTAGTTTTATTTGTCTCCCCGTACTTACCCGTAGTCAGTATGCTGGGCTATGAGTTGATGCCCGAGATGGCCGGCCTGCTGCCCGGTATGGCCTCGGACGCCGTGTCCGAGGTGTCGACGCGCGGCTCTAGTATGTACAGTGACTCTCGCGAGGATTTGCGGGACTTGGCCGCCAACCTGGGATTGCAAGAAGATCAGCTGTTCCAGGATAGATTCCGTGTGGACCGTCGTAAGCTGGAGCACATGCTGCTTGGTGAGCTGATAAGCCCTTGGTAGGGAGGGGGAGGGGCGGGGGTTTATTTTTTTGACTAGCATCTATTGAACAGAACCCCTGAGTTCTCCGCCCCGTTTCCCTTAAATTCTGAAAATAGTGGTGCGATGGCGTCCCCGTTTTTACTCGTTTTAATCTCATATATTGCTTTGAACACCACCTGCAGGTGACACTCCGACCAAAGAGACTGCTGCAGATTTCTTCCAGCGGGTAAGTGCTGTAGACTTTTTCTTTTAGCTACGATGTAGTGGCTCGTACCCCCCCCCCCCACTTTTCCCCAGCCCCAGTGTTTGCCAGCGAATATTGCTGCGATAGCCGTGAGCTTTAGTCGGCACACTAGTGCGCCTGTGTGTTAGGCAACCCAGTCGACACCCCGGACATGGGGGTGCGCTGCCCAGCCAGGAATTCTAAAGCTACCCAGATAGCAAAATGGAGCAAACTGCATTCGAACCGCATTATATGTTCCATCTGAAACGCACATTTTAGGCGCCTACACGCGTTTTAGGCGCTTTTTAGATTGGACACACAATGCACATTTTATGCAGCTCTGCTACCTGGGATAGAAGACGTCTAGAGTTGTTTAAGATCTATTTTCAGACCTCATGGACGTCTACGTCAAACTCTACGTGGTTCAAAAGTAGACATATACGAACTTTGGACGCTTTCTAGACATAGCATTTCGGAGTGGGTTGGCAAGTACCGGGTGTCCAGCCGCACCGTGTTGTGGCCTAGGCAACCATTGCACTTGTGGTGCGAACCAGAGTGGTCTTCCCCCTCCGCACGCCCCGCCGGCCCCGCCCCCCGGCCCTCCCCCGCCGCTCGCGCTGTCCCCGTGTCCCTCGCGGGCCACCAGCACAACTCCGCGGGATGGTGTCCGACTCGGAACTCACCCCGCCGCGGTCAGCCGGGGCGCGACCAACGTACCTGACTTGTTTTAAATTCCGGATATGACTTTTGCCTTCGCTCTCAGCAAGGTGGGTGAGCCAGTGTGTTGAAGGGAGTTGAGAGTTGGCGTATGCTGCGCTCACGACCTACGACTTCCAGTGCTTGTAAACTGCTTGCTGCCCGTGATTTTTGTGCACCTTTGTTTGTTCGTGTGGTTTAAGGTGGATTTGCGATAGCAACGTAGCAAGCGTAGTTCTGCCGCTAGCGTTTAAAGAACGCTCGTAAGGTCCTCTGCCACCCTCTTCACCTTGTTCCGATTACTTCCCTATCGTGAATTCAACGCTACCGTTGATGATACGCTCGCTGCGTTCCGATCGTACCCCCCCCCCTTTTACAGACCCCATGTTACGTAGTTTAGGGGCCTGGCCCTAATCCTCGCCGCCTCTCTCGCGCCTAGACGTGACTCGCCGGTAGGGCTCATAGGTCATGGGATGTCTTTCCCCTTCTCTCTCGCACCGCGCTCTACGCTGTGCCGGCTGTATGCCGGCTGTGCCCTACCGTGGCGTGCCACACAGCAGCGTGCATTCAGTGTTGACACGCCTTTTCGATCGGCTGCTGTTGGCCACCCGCACCCGTGTCTCCCAGTGACACACCAGGCCAGCCGTTTCGGACCGCGCGGTGCACAGTGTGTAGGGCTGGCTCAGAGGGAAGGACAGGCGACGCAGGCGACTCATGCTGCTCGCCGGATGAGTGGGAGTCTGCACCCGTCAAGAATAAATGTTCCGGTTATCATAGTTTGCTTGCTTTGCAGATCATGGACGAGACCAACACCCTTATAATCTGGCCAGCTCGACTAAAGATTGGATCAAAGTCCAAAAATGGTGCGTTTCTTGCGGAGGGTGTTCTGTGTCAACCACACGCTTCTTTATATTCTGATCTGCTGTTAATGAAAAATATGTTGTTGTTTTTTCTATAGACCCTCACGTCAGGATCGCTGGTCGACCCGAAGACGTGAAAGAGGCCAAGGCCAAGGTGATGTCGGCTCTGGATGTAAGGGTGAGTTGATACTTCGCCTGTAGACATTATTTTTATACAAGAGCCAAACTCATGCGTTTTATCTAATCTTAGAGCAACAGAGTGACAATGAAGCTGAACGTGAGCTACACTGACCATTCACACATCATTGGAAGAGGTGGTTTGACTATCAAGAGAGTCATGGAGGATACTGGTTGCCATATTCATTTTCCTGACTCCAACCGCAGCAACCCCATGGAGAAGAGTAACCAAGTTTCAATTGCGGGTGATTTGGAAGGAGTAGAGCGTGCCCGTGCTCGCGTCAGGGTTAGTAATCACTTAAAAATTGAAACTGCAAAAAGAGTATGATGGGAGTTCTAATATCTAATCTAATATTTTGTTTGTTCTAGGAACTCACCCCGTTGATGTTCAGCTTTGAATTGCCTATTGTTGGAACCTTACAACCTTACCCTGATCCTGAGTCTCCATTCTTGCTGTCTGTTCAAAAAGAGTATAATGTACAAGTGATGTTCCGCACTCGACCCAAGTTGCATGCCACTTTGGTAGTTGTCAAGGGATGTGAATGGGAGGTGGCTCAAGTTAAGGAGGCTACTTTGCTGCTTATAAATCACATGTGTGATTCACTTGCTGTAAGTATCAATTATTATATATATTACAAAATTGTTTCTATTTCATCAATACCATAGTAATTCTTTTGTCTGTTCCATAGAATCAGGTGCAAGTGCAGATGTCAATGGAAATTTCTCCCCAGCACCATCCTACAGTTGTTGGAAAAAACAACAGCAATCTTAAAATGATTATGCATCGCACTGCTACACAGATAATGTTTCCTGACGCTTGTGATCCTAATATCCCATCAATCAAGAAGAGTAATGTATTGATTACAGGAGTCATTCATAATGTGTACATTGCTCGGCAGCAATTGCTTGTGAGTATTTCTCTGAAATGGGTGACTAAACATTGTGTCTTGGTTTTAAGTATAAATGTATATTTTTTTCATTTGCAGGGCTCTCTTCCCCTTGTTTTGATGTTTGATGTTCCAGATGAATCTATTTCCATTCAGAATGACCAAGTTGCTCTCCTTATGCAAACCCATGATGTTCTCATAACAATTCGTCACAAGCCCAAGCAGAATAGCATGTCAATTATTGTGAAAGGCATAGAGCGCAATGCTAGTAAGATCATCCACCCCAAAAGTTTTTCATTATCTTCTTTCTTGAAATAATTTTTACTCCTGGTTCTATATTTTAGATAAAATCTACGAAGCCCGCAAGCAGCTCCTTAATCTCAAAGACGATAATTCTAAGGCTGACATTCCTCAATCTTATCAATTGATGGATAGCCCATCTCTGTATGACCGCAATGCAAATGTTGTTAAAGGTATCGCAATGTGTGTTAAATGACATTCTCTAAAGAGGTATTATGAGTCTAATATTTGGTTCTGAAATTTTCTAGGTACCTCTGCTGCTTCTGCTGCTGCTGCTAGTCCTTTCAGCTTGTTGACTATCAATACTAGTAACAACAACAACATCTTTAACATGCCATCACCAACTTCTCTGTCACCTGGCATCTCTCCTAGTCTGATGTCTTCGAGTCCTAGTATGTCTCCTATGGCATCTCTTGGTTTGCAATGGAACAACTACAGCTTGCTTCCTTCAGCACATGAGCCGAGCCAAGCCTTTTCTCAGCATCAGTTTTCCCAATTGATGAGGTCAACATTGTCACAACATAATCACCAATATCAGCATCACCAGTCTCACCATCACCAACAACAGCAGCTACAGCAGCAGCAGCAGCAGCAGCAGCAAGAGTTGTTGCTTCAACAACTTTTGCCAAGGTTTGTTAGGTTTTAATGTCTAAAAATTCAATTTATTCTTCCTGTCTGCATTATTTTGCTTTCTTTCTTTTAGAATGCAGCATGCCACCCTTTCTGGCCCTCCATCGGACGGTGGTTGCACTGGAAGCTGCTCTTCATCTCTTGGCTACCATAGCCGCCCAAGTAGTTCTCAATCTCTTGATTATCAAGGTTTATCCTTAAATCATTCTTTATACCCTTTTAATACAGTTCCAGTTATTTGTTAAACTTACTTATTTATTTTTATTTCTTGTAGTTCACTCCAGCAGTAATGGTAGTCCGACGGCCAGTCCGCGTGTATCTTCTCCACTACACTGCTTCAATGATTCAAGAGGTGCCTCTTCACTCCATCCTCTCCCTTCATTTTTTTTTAATTTTAGGAAATCAAATTCTCAATAATTTGAACTTGTTTCAGATGCCCGTAATAATAGTATTTCAGAAAATTCCGAGGGTAGCTACAAGAGCTCAGACCATCAGAAGGTTTTGACTTCTGCTCTGGAATATCAACGCAAGAAAGCACTAGCTGCAAAGGGCAAGTATAATTCGAGTAAAATTCTATTACATTACAAATTTAACATCTAAAGAAAAAATCTCTAATTTTTAAATATTTCTTCTCACTTTTTTTCCTACAGCCATGCAAATGAAACCCATGCCTGAGGTTCTGCGTGTTCCATCATCTACTTGGTCTGGCTATGGATTCAGTCAATCAAGCCCTAGCAATGCCTTAAAAGAACAGTTCAAGAAAGAGAGAATTATTCCTGTAATTCTATTTTACTATTTATTGGAAGTTATTTCTAACTACGATTTTTTACAAGTTTATTTTTAATTGTAGGACGCACTGAATTCAGACTGCTGGAAAATGTCTGCTCAAGAAAACTTGAGCTCACCTTCTAGTTCTTCATTTCCATCTGTATCTGACCTGGGTGTAACACCAGGGCCTGTATCAAGTACCAAGGGTAGAGACAGTCCTTTCAGCTCTAGCAGCTATCTTGACTCAGTGCCATCATCCTCCCGTGCATCTGTTTCTTCTATGAAAACAACTGATCTTACCTCTCTCCTCATTTCCATTGGCATGGAAAAATACATTAGTAAGTTGTAGAAATCTATTGAAAGAGCTGTTTTCAATTTGGTTATTTGACAGTGTTCTAACTGGGCTTTATTGATTTCAGATGTTTTCAAGGAACATGAAATTGACCTGAATGTCTTCATGACCCTCACTGATAAGGACTTGCGTGATGTTGGTATAACCACATTTGGAGCACGACGCACCATGCTAATGGCAATATCACGTAAGTTGCTCATCTCCAATAATACTCTACAGCCTGTCGTCCTGTACTGATGTTTGTCCTTAATACAGAACACAAAGGACAAGGCAGCCCATTCCGTTGCAGTGCAGCACCTGGTGCAGAACGCAAGGGATCCTCATCTACTACTGGAACTAACAGCCCCTCAGACTTATGGTAATGAAATCCATGAATTGAGTTGCAAAATGTACTACTTACCATCCCCCTAAGTTTGTTTAGCCAATTTGGTAGTAAATGAATGACATGAAATTGTTTAAAAATTTTCTGGATCATGTATGGATTGGGTGTTAATCTTTTTTATATGCTAGTTGCTTGTCATAATGGTAAGGTAACTGCTTTTCTAATGTTTTCCTGACCAAAGTTACTGTTAAAGATACCTGTTTTAATGTTATGGAACTACCCAAAGCCAAGTGATTGAATATCTTTATATTGAGTGTTCTTTTTGAGTGTTGCCTTATGAAATGACACGGGGCACATTTGGTGGATGGGCTGTGGTATTGCTTTACTCATTGGAGATGAGTTTGATTTCCAAACTAACATTGTGGCACTAATATGGTGGAAGTAAAACTATTTTTAAATTAAATTTTATAGGAATAAGCCAAAAACATTTTATGAAAATGAGAACACAAAAATGCAGTTTTAAATTCAATGTAAAGTTGTTTTTGGAATTTTGTAACTTATTGGAACACAACATCTCTATAACAATGATAGCAACACTTGCGTTTGTCAAGAAAATGTCTATTTTTACAGGGATTGTTTTAACTTATCCCTTCTCCTCAAAGGATAACCTGAGCAGTGGTGGTTTTATGTAAAACTTTCCTACTGTCTTGTGTTATGAAAACTAGTCATGTGATTAGTGTCATTGTTCAAGGTTTAGTATTGACGATGCATTCTAGACGTTCATGAAGTATTCATATGATATATTGTGATCTATCCCTGGATTGATGTACCTATATGTATGCAAGTAATTCAGTCTAGATTTAAAATGATTGATTCTTAAGTCTGCATTCAGGCTTTACTCTAGACAGCTATTACCTGCATCCCCTTGACTGTAAATTACTTCAAATTAACAGGGTCATTATTTTTATGATACAAGACCTTGTCCTTTTTCATGATATGGCTTTCTAGTCTTATATTTGTTATTCAACTTAAGTGCCAAAGTGATATACCCTAGTACTAGTATAAATTATTGATATTTGTTTTGATTTAGTTATTGTTTCTTTAATGCATGTATAATAATGAAATTGTAAAACACGAGTGTTTACCACAGATTTTCTCAATTAATGGGAATGTGTGTTGTAACCACTGGTGTTTTTAAGCATGTTATATTTAGAAATATTTTTCTTGTTTTTGTTTCTTTCATAGTTTGTTTTTCTGCACTTAAGAGCTTGTGATTTTGTGAGTTCTTAGCAAAAAGAGCAAGGGTGCTTGTTTTTTGGCTAACGGAATGAGTAATATGCAAGTGCTAGTTTGTTCTATTTTGAATGTGTTTTGGGGAAGGTGTTTGTACTAAGTTTGACTGACAGGCCTCTATGAAATTCTTCTGTCTTTAGATGAGTTTTCATACTGATTATTTTATTTTAACATGCTGGTTATTTATTGTAGATGAAGTTGGTTTTGCCATGGTTTCCTCATGCATCTGGTACATATATTAGCAGAAACTCTTACCCAAAATTAAATCTATTTTACATAATTGGGTCATACCAGCTTGATGTTCTCTTGCTTAATTGAATGGTGAAGGAGCCTCTATGAATTTCTATCTACATAACTGTTCAATTAATTTAATTTTATCAATCTTTCGGATAATTTTAGCTTCAGATGTTTTTTTTTAATGTCTTCCAATTGCTTGGCTATGGATTGTAATGATTTGACTGATGACGAGAGGATGGATTAATCTAAGTTATTCGTGTTTGTTTTGCTGAATGTTTAGACTGTAAACAGTTATTGAATTATGAGGAGAGATTGACTTTTGTCATGTTAGCTTTTGGTACCGTTGTTCAAATATGTTAAATCAAACTGTGTAAGTGAGCATGATAGTGCATTTATTCTGATCTCATTTGACTTATATTTTGCTCTTGATTTGTTGAATCTGTCAGATAGTTTCTCGTACAATTGTTTGAGCACCTTTCTGTGATTTTGTATTAGTGGCTAGTGTTTTGGTAAGGTATTCCAAATGCTTGTGAACTACGTAATTCAATCTATGGTTTATTTTGATATTAAAATCTCCTCCTTACTGAAGCTGTTTTGTTTTCTTCAATCTGTTCTACATTTTACCCAACACTTGTTATTACCAGAACTGAAATACCTCGAGAAACGGATGCATTGAAATCCTGCACCTTTGGCTCCTGCCATGCTCCACTTCACACAATTGGAATTCCCGGCGGGAAGAGCGAGCCATTTCCCAACACCTTTATTTCCATGCTCAAAGGCGGTTGCAAGTGACGTCACAGAAGTTGCATACAGCACAGCTCGGCGAGGAGGAGGAGGTGCCTGTCCAAGTACTGCGTGGATGTTTTGACAATTCCTCTGTGTTTTTATTCTCGGAGTCTGTCGGTGATTGTGTCTACGCACGCCTTCGATCTCGGGATATCGTGCTTTCCAAGGTGAGTTCTTCTCCAAACCGTAGTGACGGAGAGAGTGCGACTCCAAGTGATGGTGCCATCGATCTGACATTGGCTAGGCAGCTATGGCCTTTGACGGCCCTTGATTTACTCGATAATTTACGTTTGTTGGCGAAATGAGAGGGGCACTTTTCGTCTTCTCTTTTATATTGAAGCCTACCGCTTTCTCGCCGTGAGTGTCACTTTCAATGCGGTGGTGTTGTCCTGACCCCTTATCACCTGGAATCGCATTAGTTAGGTGTGACGTCAGACTGCGGTATCTTTCAACCGTGTCGTTTTTCGTGTTTTATTGATAAGAAATAGGATCGTGGTTATTTGCTACTTTATTTCGTTGCGTTATTTTTCAAACCTGTACTTTTAGTCACGTATTTAGCAGGCGCTGGGGTCACACTAGTTGTTTTACTGGATGGAGCTTTTGACCAGGGACTCGAAAGAGGTTAGGAAATGTGATTCCTCTTGTCATTATGAATAAATACAGATTCTTATATTCTTAAAGTGCTCCCTATATTATATTACTATTTAATCTTATTTTTTTATTTGGTTGTTATCTATTTGATAGGCTTAACCGTTGACTCGTTACAAGGTTATGTTGTCGATGTTTTTGTTTGCGCAATGACATATTTCCTGTTCCCTGTGGTTTAGTATTACATGTGCTTGGTCTCAATGAGTCTGAGTGAAAAGCTTAGCTCAGTATCTGCTTTTTCTTGTCAAATATGAACACAAATATGCTGTTTAATGCTCAATAGGCGTGAGTATCTATTGCGCATCAATACTGATCCATTTTGTACATCATATTTTTGGATAAAATGTAGTGATAACTGTAATGAATTGCAACTGTAACGCAATGAGCAAGTTGTAGGGGTCATATTCTACTTTTATTCTTTCTTCGTGTCACAGTATGGTAGAATCAATTCTGCCTGCCTGCCTCTCTACCCAGCCCCTACACGACTTTACACAGACTTCACCTGTTCCTATTATTTAGTTTGAATTTGCCGCTACATTTGGGAACTCTAGAAAACATTGCAGTCAATGACATTCAATTTCTCTCCTGATTTTTGAAACGCCTGCTTTTTTAAAATCCAGATTCATCACTAAAGAAGTATAAGCACACCTCTTCTATGACATTTGTCAGAGTTGAAAGATGCAGCTTGGCCTTTGAGTGTTGTAATTGGACTGCCCTTCTAGAAATGTCATGCAATTTTTCCTCAGAGCAGTATAGGTTGCCTCGGGAGTAATGATGCTGTGACAGCAACTTGGAACTCCTGGCTTATAATAACGTTGCGCTCTGTGTTTGTTTGTCGTTTGCGTGTATAATTGGGGCCTTTGGGTCTTCACCTTGCCTATAGCTCAGCCCAGCCAAGCGTGTCAGCAGCCCCCGCTACGCCCCGCTTCACGGCGCCACACCCCGCCCCGCCCCAGCCCCGCCCCTGCTTCGCCCCGCCACGTCCCGCCCCGCCCCGCCACGATGCCCTGCGACGCCCTCCGACGCCCCCCGGTGCACCCCGATACCTCCCGATCGCTACCGATACTCCACCGCGCCGCAGCCGTCCTTTTACCCGTTTGCTAGGGACTAACAGCAGCCCACGTGCATGGCGTCGCGCTGCCCGGGCGCAAGGCCGGGCCCTGGCCGGGTTGGTGTCGGGGCACCCTAGCGCGCTATAGCGGCGCTGTAGCGGCGCCCGCAGGCCTGCAGGCCGGGCCCCGCACCCCTTAGCGCGCGCCCCTGCAGGCCCCTCGCCACGTGGGGCTGGGGCCTGCCTGCTGGTCACCCTAAGGGTAGGGCGGCCCGCCCCGCCCTCCGCGCCCCTCCGCGAGCGCCCCACCCCTCTCTCCGGCGCCCCACCCCGCCGCGCCCCACGCTACGCCGCTCCACCCCCAGCTACCCTGTGAGATCAATATGGAACCGCTGAGCCTGCTGCCGCCCCTGCGCCCGCCCCCAACTCGCCCCGCCCCACCCCCAACTCGCCCAGTCGCGCGCCTTCGCCTTTGCGGCCCGGGGCGACCCTTTTACCTTCGGGTCTGGGTCGGGAGGGAAGGAAGGTCGCGGGGTCTACCCTGGCGGCCCTGGCGGCCATGGGCCCTGCTCTGGCGTGACTGCCCCCGGCGAGTTGGCCTCAGTCCCTGGCCCCACCTC